TCAAAAACTTGTTGGCGATTCCCTACTTTCCTTAGCTTGTCTCTAATCGTAATGTCAATCCTCACTTCCTATGAGTGCCAAACATATTCACACATGCTTTAATGTAGGCGCACTTCGAATAACGCCTACAAGTGGCAACAAGCAAAGGTGAGTGTTTTTTTTTTTTTTTTTTTTTTTTTTTTTTGTGAAGTTGTGCAAGAGGGAGAGAAGTGAGTGTGAATGAATTTTACGTGAGAGGGGAAAAGGGTGTGAGGTTTTTTGGGGGTTTTATTTGGGCCTTGGGTTTCCTAATTAGATTAGGAGTAAAACTTGAGGTTTTGAGCTATTAAGTTAAAATTGCTTTTAAATTAGTCAGAAACATATTAATTTACTTAAATCTTTTCATAAAAAAAAATTATTTATCCAATGAAATCGACATAAAATATTTGTATGAATAATAAATAAATATATTATAATTAAGTTGAAAATATGGGGGATTACTTTAATACTCAGGTTTCGGTTCCAGGTAATAAAATTGGGAACCTGTTGCAACAAGTTCCGTTTTCGGGTAATAAAATTTTGGACCCATAACCTTTAGGGTACCATATATGTTAGTACATGTTCTCTGTAGGGTACAAAAAATCGGAACCTATCATTTAAGCCCAAATATAAAGCCTTATATCAAAATTGTACAAAAGCCATCACCTACCTCTTTTCCTCCTCTTATTCATTTTTCATCTTACTCTTAAGAGGTTTAATTAATGGTACTAATACAAGTATTTATAATATTGTATCAAATATTCTAGACAATCAGTGTTGGTTTGTTGTATTTGTTGTACTTAGGGGTGGGACTTTTCAAACCGAACCGTGAAACCGTCCGTTACCGAACCGAACCATCACGGACCGAACCGTTTATAACCCGCTAATTTTAAACCGAAAACCGAACTGAACCGTATAATGTCAAACCGAAACCGAACCGAACCAATTAATGTTAACCCGTTACGAACCGTAAACCAATAACAAACCAAACCGTTTATAAATCGAAACCGTTTGAACCGATTAATGTTAACCCGCTAACTGTTTAAACCGAACCGTTTATAAACCGAAACCGTTTAAACCGTAGGAAAAAACCGTTTAAATCGAACCATTTACAACCCGCTAACCGTTTAAACCGAACTGTTATAACCCATTAAACCGTTTAAACCGAACTATTTTCAAACCGCAACCCGTTTAAACCGATCCGATTACAAACTATTTAAACCGAACCGTTTACAACCCGTTCCATTCAAATTGAACTATTTGCAGCCTTTAACAATTTGTTAGAATTCCACGAAATATATTTGATGTTTAATGTAATTTAACTATACAATTTTTTTTACATATAATTATTGATTTAAATTTGTAAATTTTTTTGCTATTACAAAATTAAAATTATATTCTTGTATAACTAAATTAGGAGTTATAAATTAAATAAAAAAATGAAAAAATTTGGCCACCCACCCAATCCAACCACCCTCCACCCACCCACCACCGTAACCCACCCTAACACCACCCCCGCCATCACCCCAGACCCACCCTAACACTACCCCCACCCACCACCGTTACCGTAACCCACCCCCACCCCACCACCGTTACCGTAACCCACCCCCACCCCACCAACGTCAACCTAGACCCACCCTAACACCACCCCCGCACCCACCATAATTACCGTAACCCACCCCACCCCACCACCCACCGTAAATAAAAAAACCCAGACCCAAACCTTACCCCACCCCATCCACCACCGTCACCGTAAATAATAAAAACCCAGACCCATACCCCACCCCACCTACCACCATCACCGTAACGTACCCCACCCCACCCCCTTAACACCCACCCCACCCCACCCACCACCGTCACTGTAAAAAAAAAAAAAAAAAAAAAACAGACCCAACCCCAACCACACCCACCACCACCGTAACACACCCCACCCCACCCCATACAAAAAAATCGAAAAAAAACCCAAACCCACCGTAACCCCACCCCACCCACCCCCACGAAACCCAACATCCTCGAAACCCCCCAACTCACTCTAATTGCTCACCCACCATAAAACTCCCTCCCTCCCTCGAAAAATCCTCCCTCCCCACCCACCTGAACCCAGTCTAACCGCCGCCGCACCCACCCTAACTCGGCCCCCTCCGTTGCCCACAACTTGAAAAAAAATTAAAAAGAAAAACAGAAAATAAAAAAAGGAAGAACGAAAACACCTTATATATTAATCCTGAATTTGGCCTCAAATTTGGTTTTAAAAGGCCAAATTCGATCATGAAACAACTAGATCTAGAGTTTCGTGGTCGAATTTGACCATAAAAACCGTCGTGCGTGGTGCCGGTGGACGGAGACGGAGAAACGAGATGAAAGAAAGGAGAACATAGACGGAAGAAGGGAGAAGAAGGAAGAAGAAGAAAGGAAGAAGGAAGAGGAGATGAGAGAGAAAACGAGAGAGCAGTGAGCATATTAGCAGCCATGGCTTCAAAAAATTGATAATATTACAGAAGAGGATTAAGAAAACGAGAGAGAAATCAAAAAGAGTACTAAAGAGACGATGATAAGAGTGATCTGATTGGTGGAAAAGAAAACACACGGATCGTGAATTGGAATGTGTGCGATGATAGGCCGTTAGATGACATGCAAATCAATGGCTGATATTTAATATAAGACGGTGACACGGATCATGGGATAATGGATTTGGATAGTATGTTTTTTTTTTTTATTCATAGCTACGTACTAATAAAAACACTACTGTACTCTTAACTTTATGTAACTTATAAATTGTAAGAAACACAAATGTTTGGAAATTGGAATTGATTCAATATGACATATTTAATGTATATTAGTTATATGTATATCAGTATATGTAATAAATAATAATGTATGGTACGATTGGTATCATACTATCATTGGTATGTATAGATAATCGATAAATGTATCTGATTATTAAAACTTAAAACAGTTGATGATCGATCTAATTGAATACTTCTACTTCCCCACCCGTTTTCTTTAACTTGCAAGTTGCAACATATATATGTTGCAGCCTTGTAGGCACGTAATCTTAAAAGGTGATTAGAGAGGGTAAGACAACAAAGTAATTCAGCAATATAACTTTAACACCAAAATTATGGAATAGTTACAAACAATTGTCAATTATTACTTTATTAGACTAATGGGAAATTGAATAATCGTGATTTTAATTAAACATCCAAATATAGTTCTGTAACATTAAATTATTAGTTTATTACAATATCAATTATCGATTTATCGTATTTAAAGTACCAATTCATCAAATCATGGTTATGACGCGATCTTTAAAACAATTAAAACAAGAAGCTGATAGCCTGATAATATTTGATAATGAAACAATAATACATTAATACCTTATAAATTTGTAATAGACTAATATTTAATAAACAACAACAAGACTATAACCAAATTTGAAACATAACACATTAACATGATATAGAATGAATGAGAATTTCTATAATTCTATATAATCTGATATCTGAATCGATTTATCGTATTCAAAGTAGCAACTCATCAAAACATGGTCATGACACGATATCTAAAACAAGCCAACAAGAAGCTGATAACCTAATAATATATATTTAATAATGAAACAATAATACATTAATACATTATAAATTTGTAATAGACTAATATGATAATATCGAATAAACAACAACAAGAGTATAACCAAACTTGAAAAATAACATATTAACATGATATAGAATAATTGAATAAATGAAGATTTGTGTAATTGTATATAATCCGATGTCTGAAAATAAAGTGACGAAGTCCCAACTTTATATAAAACGAAAATAGCTAACCGGTCAAAAATCTCTTAAAACCCAATTTCTACTCGATCCATTATTTTTTTCACCAACCTATGCCGACCCGCTAATGAAATGGAAATATTAGTCCCAACTTGATATAAAACAAAATGCGCTAACTGGTCAAAACCACTTTTTAGAACTCGATTTCAACCCGATCCAATTAACCGATTACCAAACTAACCCAAACGATTTTAGCACCAAACCGAGTATAAACCGAACCGATATGAATCGAACTAGCATTAACTCGGGTAAACCCGCCCTTGAACCGACCCATTTCAAAATAATCCGTTCATGACCCGAACCGATATGAACCCGGACCGACGTTGACCCGGTAAAACCGCCCCTGAACCGATCTGTTTCAAACCGGCCAGATCATGACCCGAACCGTTTATAAACCGAACGGGCATTGACCCGGGTAAACCCGCCCCTGAACCGACCTGTTTCAAACGACCCGATTATTAACCGAACCGTTTAAAAACTGAACCGGCATTGACCCGAGTAAATCCGCCCCTGAAGCGACCCGTTTCTAACCGATCTGATTATGACCCGAACTGTTTATAAACCGAACCGTTTATGACCCGAATCGAATTTAAATCGTACAAAAATAAACCGAAACCGAACCGACCTGTGACTAATCAAAACCGAACTGAACCGACCCGCCGTCTAAATGAAACCGTTTTAACCCGAACCGTTTCAAACCGAAACCGTTTCAAACTGAGGTCAAACCGAACTGCCAGACCGATGTCCCACCCCTAGTTGTACTGTATTAAAGTTGTAAGATTTTATTGTGAACATCCATTTTTTTTTAAAAAAAATTTATCAAGTAATTATTAAGCTTAATTTGAAAATAAGGGTACCCTGTTGAGAAACCGGAACCTGCAGGTTTCGATTACGCTTCCCAATTTTAGGGACCTGTTGAACAAATTCGGTTGCGGTTCCTATTTTTAAGAAACCTGTTGCAACACGTTCCGATTCTGAAGTTAGATCCTAAGATTTTTACAAGGTACCTTGCTACGCTCACCCCTAATAACCACTAACCACGAGTCCATGACCTTAAACCTATGGGGTAAACAAAGACAAAGTTGCGTGCCAAAACTCACCTATCAGCTAAGAATTTTTTCATTCTTCACCACTCAAAAATCCCAATTGTTTTTTGTCAAAAATAATGACGAACCAAAAAAGAAGTTAGAGGTCCGTAAGAAAGATAATATTAGCATGGCATTCATAAGCCAACGCCAAAAAATAGAAGAGAATTCTGGGCTCAGAAACTACGATTTCTGAACTCAGATTCTCTCTCTATTTCTCAATGGCTTCTACTTATAATGTTTTCCCTCCTGGACTTCTCTTCCACCAACAGCAACCCAATTCTAGGCCTTTCAAGGTAATCAATTTCTCTGTTTTTTCGTATATTTTTTGGGTTATGATTTCTTTTTTTTTTTTTTTGTTAAATTTTTTATATTGTTATTATTATAGTCAATTATGGGTTAAATACAATATTACAGTATATATTTTGCGTTTTGATTATCTTTTTTATTCTTCTTCTTCTGAATATGATGAATTATGGTTGACCTTTAATTTTACGGTATAGTTTTTGGGTTTATTTATCTGGGTTGTTTGATTTTCTTGTATTATTTGGGATTTTGGTCCTTAAAATGGATTTTCTTGCTTAATTGTGAATTTGTAGTCTTTGTATATTATTTCGATTTTGAGTTGAGTTTCTTAATGTAAATCTTGTAATCATAGTATTCCGTATTTTCGTAATTGTATTCAACCCAATTTTGATGAACGGTAGTTGGGCTATTGATTGCAGCTTCGTGAATGATAATTTAGTTGGGGATTTCATATGTTTAGTTTCCCTTTGTGGATTTGTGAATTGGTGGTAAGCTAATTTGCTTTGTCATGTGCTTGTATACAGGATTTTCCACACTTACCAACCACTGGATCAAGGCATGATGCATTAAGATCAAGCATCATTTCGCTGACACCGTATGAGCATGATGATCTGTTTAAGTCAATGAGTGGGTTAGATGGATATAGCCAATTCGTCAGGGCTGCCCCTATCAGAAGAATGTCTATGCCTGGCGATGCACAAGGTTCGTGTCTCTCGATAGTTTATCTCCTATATGTCGAACTTGCTTTTTTTTTTTGGATGGCCTATGCTTCGTTTATGTAGCTAGTCGTGAACTATATGAGTGAGGGTTACACAAATGAGCATAATTGCAGTAGATGAGCAATTGTAAGCTGGTTAGCTGTATGTGAAAGTTGATGGGAAAAATGTTAATTAGGAATGTAGGATTATATCTGCATAATTGGAGAAAGGATTGTTTGTGATGTGAGAGAGAAGTAGTCAACTGTCATCTATTTATAATTAAACCATTTGATTGATGCCTGTAATAAGATGAACTATATCTACTGGATAAGAAGTTGCACGGAATATGATGCTGATTCTATAATTGTGCTTTCATTCCAGATAAGCAAGCTGATTATGATCTCTTCAACCTAGAAGAACAATGGAAAATGCATAAAGAGTTGTTGCCATTTGTAATGCCGGTATCAAATGAGTTGGAAAAGAATTACCTGGACTCTTCGATATATCCAGATTTTAAGATTCAAGCCACAAATGCTGATATGCATCTGCTGCACCTTGCAAATTTTGACCCGGTCCGCAATCTTTCTTCTTCGACTGTATCAGTTCTTGCTGATGGGCGAATTTCTGCTGTTGGTAGTGTGACTGATATGAAGGATCTAGTGTCTGTTATAGAAGAATTTAGATATACAAAGGAGTCAGCATGGAGGAAGCAGGAGGTTGTACCGTATTTTAGATGGTATGTGTAATTTTTTCTTATTTAGTTTTTATTAATTCTTGGTTACATTGTTGTTTTTTTTTTTTTTTTTTTTTTTTTTTTTTTGAGAAGAGGTTACATTGTTGTTTGAGGACTCATTTGCTTGATAGTTTTTCATTTTCAGCTATCTCTATTATGAGTTAATATTGTGATGCTAGCTTATAGTTTAAACTGTTGTCCTGTAGCTTTTTATTTACCAGGTCAAGTGCGTGGCCAACTATTTTGAGAATATGAATTGGATGCTCCAATTATGGCATCAACTTTGTTTGAAATCTCTTTTCATATGCATGTTTTGAAATCTTATGTGTGGCTCTGTTGTTTTCAAAGTCCTATACTATATAGAAAATTGTTTTATAAAATGGTAGGGTGTCATTAATAAGTAGGGTACCAACTGAAATATACTGTTAGAGGCCAAGCAAAACCCATATATCTGGGTTAAATCTGGCATGTTTAAAATCTGGGACCAATCCCCCTATGGATACATGAATATTTGCAATCTCGACAGTGGACTTGCTTATAAAATTAGTTTTTGAATGGTGCTTCAGAATAATTTTAATGCAGTAATTCTTTTCCAGTTGTTTTAGAATGGGTTTTACTTTTCTTTAATGTTTATAGTTAGTTTTTGTATTTTAAAAAAAAAAAATTCTTAATTTTAAAGCTTCTATATTTCTTTGGGCGAATGGGAATGGTGTTGGGTAATGAAAAAAGGTGCCCAAAGCATTATTTGGTTAGGGAAAATTCTCATTTGCTCTCTCCATTCTCTAAGTAGCAGTACTCTTCCAGTCTTTGTAGTTTCTCTTATAATTCCATATTTATTTATTTAAATACTACGTAGTAAAATTTTTGCTGAACCAGAAACCAGATACATCACCATCTTGGTATATTTTGTAGATGAAATTGACCAATCTTTTATTTTGCTGGGTTTATATGTTTCCAAATTTGAAATCTTAAAGTGCTATCCTATCACTGAATTTGCTGATATTTTCTGCTCTTACAGGAATGGTGCTGGCAAGTTGCAGGATCGTACATACATGTCTCCTTCAAAGCTAAACTCCTTGACTGTTGCTCCCTCCAAGAGGTATTGCTTTGTCTTCTTGCACTCTTACAGTCTTGTTCTCTTTTTATCAGAATTGCTTGAAATTAACAGGTGTCATAAGATTGTTTTTTACAAATTACATCAACTAGACTTTATAATTTAATTTCATCAATTTGTTTAGTGTTCCTAGTTGCAAAGCCACACAGTTTCCTACTTCATAGAACATGTGATGTCCTAATTTTCTGCTCGTAGCTACATTGCCTCACAATCTCTTCTTGCTTCATATAAGTTATGGGTGTCTTGCCTTTGCCAATTGCCATGTATTGGATAAAGCATATATATACTTTAAATCACGAAATGAGTGGCAACTTTGTTTAATAACTGAAAACTAGCTTTTTAGTACAGACATTGAACCTGAAAACCACTTATACCTTAAAAAGCATCACTGTTTTTCACCCCCCAACTTTTGATAAGATTTGGGTGCCATTCCAGGTTTTAATAATGAGAAAATAGTTTTAATCTTACACCAGCATCAATGGTGACTGTGAGCTAAAAGGACATTAACTGAATTAGGCACAGCAGTAAAAATCTGAACTTGAGACTGAGACTCAGATAAGGCCTGTGAATTGCAGCACTTGACATATACCTAACCCACTCAAAATGCAGTACCAAACCTGCTAAGAGTGTCTGCATTCAAAGAAGACATCCCAACTTAACCAGAGTGTGCTACCAAATCTGTGAGAGTATCTACATTGAAAGGGGGTGATGTATGGATTTTCTCTCTTTAGATAGACCCTTTAAAACCAGTTTTTTACACAATCAAAGATTTGTCTCTTCCGATCTGAACATGTATGACACTTTGAGAGCCAATTTTGTTTCACTTACGAGTTTTGAAGCCAAATATTTTACACAGCTTCTGCAAAACGTAGCATGAAAATCTTTTCAATGTTCTTATTTTTTTTAGCTTTAAAGACTCTTACTCCAATTGAAAGCAATGTACCAAATCCAACATGCTTAAAATGCAGTACCGAACCTGTTCAGAGCAAGGTTACAAGGTACGTGGTATGGACCCACGAATTGCGATCTGGTTTGTGCGTTTCGGAACACGGAACAAACGAAACTCTGATCGCCATAGCATCTTTATTTTTGTATTAAATTGTTTTTTTTTTTTTTTTTTTTTTTTTTTTTTTGATGCAAGAACCATAGCACCATACAAAAGCTTGTACATTGCTTTATAGAAAATAGACCTGGAACTAGCATTGCAAACCAACTATATGTTCAATTACTGTAACCATTTTTAAAATTTTCTACAAGTTTTTGCTCTCTTATAAGCATTATTTATGCTTTCTAATAATGTTGACAAATAATATGAAATCCATCTAGGTTTGAACTGTTACATTCATGACCACGATTAAATCCTTATTGGTTTGTTTATCATCCAGTGGATGATGAAAACAAACTCAAAAATAAATTAACGACAGATAGAAGGAAATTTTGAATCAGATATATTAATCTCGATGTTTTGGCTTGCTTTTGGTTACAGTCTTGAGAAAGTTAAACAAAAGCCCTCTTCAAAGAGGAAGAGCAAGAGAGCAGCGATTCCCAATAAGATCAACTCTCTCCAGGCTTGTGAGATGCTTTTATCGATCATAGTGGACAAGAAGCGGAATGGGAAGTCAGTGACGAGCTCAGTGAAAAAAGCTGGTCCTGCACTACCTCTGCTATTAACTCAGGTCTCTGCCAGCATCACAGGAACTGGACTTGCTGTCATGTTCTCTGTGATCCATAAAGTAGCTTGTGGAAGCATTCCATTCTGTACATCCAATCTTCTTACTTCTGGGTTTGGTGTTGGACTTTTTTGGCTTTCTTGGGCGGTGAATACATTGAGAAACACAATCATATACATCGGCAAGAACTCTACAAAATTAGAATCTGAAGAAGAAATGATGGTGAGGATGAACAAGAGTGTGAATGACATTTTCTTTCGTGCTGTTGCTTTGATGGCAGTATTAATTTTAAGATTTGCCTGATAGTGATGATGATACATGGATTGGAATCTGAACCTCGTGGCATGAAGGTCCTAAATCCACCTTAATCTGAAATTCTGAACTCTTGATTTTAGTTACTGCTATGAGATTTTGTGGTTTTTCTTTTAGGTAAATATGCTTTCAGTGTCATTCTGGCTGCTGGAGTGTTCAGATCCGGCATCTGTGGCTCCATTTCTTTGTTATTAATACTTCAAGTACCCCTCTATTAGGAACAACTGTTCGAAAATCCGAAAAAACAATGCCTCATGCTGTCACCATTTTGTTAAAGGTTCGGGTAGAATACTAAAATTTAGAAAGATAACCAGTAATCTAGCGGACGAAATCTTCCCTCCGATTGATAGGACACTATAAAGGGTAATGTTGTGAATTGCATGCAATCTCAATGTATCATCCTCCTGAGTTAACTACTTCTGAGTAGCTAAAAGCCTAAAGTAGTTGAAGTCTGACTGTAGTTTAAATCCATCCATATAATAAGTCAATTAACTAAAAATAAGGTGGTTTGCTATTCGTCGCTTTCAATTTACATAGTAACGCACTCATTTAAGTCGAATGGGTAATAAGCCCTTTATGCAAGTTGTACTATAAAAAGGACTTTGTTCCCTACATGGACATATTCTATCAAACGGTCCCCTCAAAGTAGTACGACATGCATATCCCGAGTCCACCACATCGGTCCCCACGACCTTCAAACCAAATTGGTCCCCATGACCTTCATACCAAATCGATCCCCACGACCACCTTAAATCCTTTTTTTTTTTTGTAAAAAAAAAAATTAATCATCAAGTTTTTCCTACGGGTCTTGGATCATGGATGACGACTGAAACATTCATACGCCGGAGAATGCGTCGGAACATTCTGTAAGAATTTTTTATTTTATTTTATGGAAAAGGCACATCCGCCTGAAATTTCCGGATGTCCCTAGGTGGATCCACCTTGGAACATCCTGAAATTTTGAACGGAAGTAGAGATCTGCCCAAAATTTCTGGATGTTCCAAGGTGGATCCGGAAATTTTAGGCGGATCCACCTAGGGACATCCGGAAATTTCACGCGGATGTCCCTTTTACAAATTTTTTTTTAATATTAATTAAATTACCGTTTTTTATTATTTTTGATTGTTGTTGTGATTAAGTTTTTGATAATTAATGTAATTATTATTGTTTTGTAGTAGTAATATAATTATTTTTGTAACATTATTATTATTGTTCTTATTATTATAAGATTTCAAAAAACCTACAAAGTCAATCAATTTACAAGAAATTGGTGCGGAGCCGAGATATAATCTGGGCCCCCACCCCTCTAGCTATTGCGAACCCGATCCTGTTGAAGATGTGAGGAGATGTACGAGCACCAATATCCTGAGTTTTAGCGAACACCTGAACCCGCTTCAGCAACGCAAAAGCATCATTCTCTAATTCCCCCAACGAAGAAAAGGAGAAAGGAAGAAAACCATAGCCAATGGCCCTGCAACGCGCCCCATACTTGTCCCGCTTCCGCTAAGCAGCCGCCGACACAACATGACCAGGAACGAAGGCAGACAACCCCGATTGCGTTAAAGGTGAAGACCGCGTCAAGTCAACACATACATCAAGGCCTCTATCCCAGGAATAAAGCAACACATCTGCTGGTCGAAGAGCCCCGTCGTTCCCTCCAGTCAACCCAACGTTAACCTCCTTTCGAGCAGAAATCCCATACTGAAAACAAATATCAACAAGGGTGTCACGAACAACGTTGTGCCGATGTTTAATATCCACCATCCAAAACTAGACACTGCATGATCCTCATAAATATCCCCATCAAAAACCCTTGAGCAAGCTGAACACGGTGTTGAAACGGAGGACAAAGGAACACCCAATCGGTAGCAAAGAACACTATGGTAAGTCTTACCATTCATAGTCTAACCCAAACCCGATATCGGGACCGTCCGCAACCAGGCCGAAGAGTGATCCCCCTGCTGGTACTTTCATAAGGCTACCTGACATGGAGTTAAGGAGAAAGTGGAAACCGCAGATGTAGTGGCCTTCGTGAAATATATATTTGCCAACTTTTTCATGAGTCTGGGGGCAGCGATCTCACTATTGTTACTCATAAGCTCAGTCTCCACAACTCTGTTAAAAAGTCTAAGAGCACCATCGAAGGCCGGTCCCAGACCAACAATATCAGAATTGGGAAGAAGCGTAGCCTGAAGACGAGAAGACTGCAGACGTGATGCAAAGAAAGCATAATGTCGAATATCACCCGCCAAATAGACACCCAAACCACCATAAGGAAAAGGTAAGGTGGCAAGTCGCCATTGTGAATCACCAAAACCAGGCCCCGAAGCTGTTACAATGCACTCCAAAGAAGCTCGAAGGGCCATGTCAAAAGAAACATGTGTTGTTTCAAAAAGACTTGGAAGACAAGTGCGCATAGCAAAGTAGAGTTTTGAAACCCCAGTACACGCACGAAGAAGCAACAACTCGCATTGGGGATCATCGAGCTTAGCAAAAACATCCATTAGCACAACGGTCTTCGACACTCTATGTGAAACAAGCTCACCACAGAAAGAGGAATCAGCACTGACAGGACCATCCAATAACTTAACACCATGCACCGGACGACCAATATCCAGAGGAAAGACACCGACGAGACGACTACAAGGGTCCTCCGAGGGTCAGAATACTTCCGTTTTCTCTACGTTGACATAGAGTCCAAGATGAGGTCCCTCCGCCAAAATCAACTCTCTAACCTTTCCTACTACTAAGGTTTCACCAATAATAGAACCGTCATCTAAATACCAAGCTTGCAAACATAAGTCAAAAGAATCCTTGATTTGGCACACTAACAGACGGAGAACCAAAGCAAAAAGCAAAGGGCCTAGAGGCACCCTGTTGAACTCCCTGACATGACCATAAGGTATGCTCCCCGTAAAACATCCTGGCTGGAGTAGAGTAACAGAATTCAACCCGTCGGGAGAGAGTTAGACAACGGAGACGAACCTCACGTAACATAGCCGAATGGTCTACCAAATTAAAAGCATTCTTAAATCCCACCAACAACATAGAGATACCAACATCACCACCACGTGACTCAACCAAATGATTAACAGCATGAAGAATAGCCTCACCACCCGCCGGCACCCGAACACAAAACTAAAGACCTCCTAGATAGCTTCTCAGACGCGGACCAATTAAAGCAGCCCCAACCTTTGAAACTAGACGCCTCCAAACTCTACCTACAACAATAGGCCGAATACCACCTCCAGGATTAACAAGCGGCGCGAGAGGAGCACTAGCAATATACTCTCCTAACTCAGCAGGACATTTCCCAGCGAGAAAAAGATTAACCACCTGCGTAATAGAGTCTACCAACTCGTCTGAAATAGAAACTGCAGCACCACTCAAACAATCCATAAGGTGTTGAGCACGTAGGCCGTCTCTACCGCATGACGTACCTCACGGAAAACCCCTAATCTGATCCAAAACAACAACATGATTAGGAATAAGGTGCCGATCAACGAGAATATCCGGTAAGATAGGAGCCGGAAAGGAAGGGTGCTTAGCTTGCAAATTATTATTGTTATTGTTGTTATTCTTAATTTGTAATTATGCTACTGATTATTGTTTTGTAATTGTTGTTGTTAATATTGTTATTGTTATTATTGGTAATATTATTATTTTTTTGAAACCTTATAATTGTTATTGTTAGTGTTTATGATTATTGTTGTTATAGTTATTATTATTATTATTATTGTTATTATTATTATTAGTATTATTTATCAATTTAATAATATTAGTAGTTGTAAAATTGTTTTATAAATATTATTATTAATATTATTAAAAAGAATTAATTGTCTAAGATCAGTGTTTTATTTAATTTATATAGGATTTGGAATCTGAAGATGGCGGTGACAGTGTGAATTATAGTGGGAATTTTGTCAAGGACACGTTATTTCCAACATTTGAGGATGTAGTTAAATGGGCGGATGTTGTTTCTATAAATCTCGGATTTATTTTGGTGAAATGGTCATATAACAAAACCATAGATGGTCGGTCGTACCGATATTTGAAATGTGATCGGGGAAGGAGGAGCAAGTTGAGAGATTTGGAGAACGCGATACGGAAGGACACAAAAACCAAAGCTAATAGTTGTCCTTTTTACATTAAGATATATTATGAATTCACCACTGACAGTTGGAAGATCCATGCAAAAAATGATCACACAAGGACACATAACCACCCAATGATTGTGTAGGAAGAGGGATATGGTAAAGTTAGCGGATTGAGCCCGGGTGCAAAATAGGTTGTGCGGGACATAACAAAGTCCAAGGTTGCGCCCCGTAACATCATGGAAACTATTGCTAAACAATTTCCTGATGATCATCCAAACATCAAGCACATTTACAACTACCAGAATGATTTCAGGATGGAGATGTCTGAAGGAAGAGGAGTTGTTCAACAATTTCTTCATTTGGCGAGAGAGAGTAGGTACATTTACTAGGGTCATGTCCGATGAGCTTGGCGTCCTACAACATGAATTTATGGTGCACCCGGTCACTGTCAACATACTCCGCACATACCCACACGTCATAGGAATGGATTCTACTTACAAGACCAATCGATATGGCATGCCGTTCTTTGAGATAGTAGGTGTGACACCGACAAACCAGAATTTTCTAGTTGGTTATGTTTTCATGCGTAACGAGTGAACGGCTAGCTATCGGTGGGTGTTGTAGAGATTAAGGGAATTTATTGGGTTTGAGAAAGAGCCATCAGTATTTTTGTCAGACCGTGAACTTGGGCTATGTGCGGCTTTGAGAGAAGTGTTTCCAGGGACGTCACATTTACTCAGTCGATGGCACATTAACAAAGATGTGGAGGCTAGGGTGACCAAGATGTTCAAAAACAAGAAGATTGGTGCCAGTTTTAAAAATGGCAAATGGAAACGTATTGTGGATGCATCACCTGAGGCGGAGTATGATCATGCTATGGCTACCATGAAAGCAGGTGGGCAAGTTTTCCGGTAGTGATTCAATATGTTGAGGGAACATGGATGTGTCATAAAACCAAATTTTTGACGTATTGGAAGAACCAAGTTTTTCACTTTGGTAACACCACCAATTGTAGAGTTGAGAGCCAACATTTAGCAGTGAAGACGTGGTTTGAATCATCCACAGGCTAGT